CATAGAATTCCATTAGGCTAGTAGATGATAGTGATTGAAGTGTAGTAAAGAAATTTGATGTCCATTTAAGATGATTATGGTTATTATTAAAGTCTTCTTTTGTAATTATATACTAATTATAGTTTTTCGCTTATGATAACCAATTGTTGACTGTGTTTTGTGTAGTTTTAAGTTGTTCTGGATGGTTTGATGGAAGATATATGAAGATAAGACAAAGCTTATTGTTTGAAGATAAATGAAAGTCAATGCTTATTGCTATGCCTGCTACTGTTTGTATATTAAATATGTAAGGTTAAAGTTTGTAATATAGTATGATTGCAGTTTTCATACTAGCTTCACATTGAGAATTATCTTTTAGTTCAAAATTGGATGTGTAGATTTTGTAAAATAAATTGGAAAGTATTAAGACATTAGAATTTTTGAGTTTGGTTTCTGTGATTGAAATAATATGATAGTTGTTTTTGGCACAGTATTCTAACCAGATTTGTAGTTTTAGTAGCTCATTAAGTCTTTGTACATTATAAGTTACAATATTAAAATAGTCTTTGATATTTATAAAGCTTTCATTAGAAAGAGTTTGTAGTATATTAATAGAGATATTATTGTTTAATTTAAAAGATGATGTGTTTTGTTTTTGAGATATTGAGGTTAAGCTATTATCTTTTTTTGTTGTTATCATTTATTTGCATATGGTCAAAATATTCCCTAGTTGGGTTCTGGAAGAGGTAGAAGTGTAAGAAGAAATTCAAGAATTTCTTTTATTGTATAGTGTTCTCTTAAAGTTTTTAGTGTTTTGGTTGCTTTGTTTTGTTGGGTAATAAATAGGTCTATATTTGTCATTTTTATGTTTTTTGTATTTATTTCTTCTTGTATTTTCTCGATTGAGTCTGGAATTTCAGGTTTTTGGTCTGATAATATATTAGAACTAATGTCTTGTAAGTATGCACCATTAATTATTTGGATTCAGCTGTTTAGAATTTTTTGAAAGTAGTATATTTGTCTTAGCATTTGTGCTATTTTTGTAAGTCTTTTAGGTATATCAATTGGTAGGATTAGATTGTAGTCTGTAATTTTAGAAGAATTTATAGGTAGTCTGAGTTTGTCAATTGGGTTTGCTGTCATAATTGTTTCTAAAAAAGGTATAGTAAGCTTATAAGTGTTTTTGATTTCATTTATAAGGTTTTTTACTATTGTATTGTCAGTAATCGAAAAGGAGTAAGTATTTATAGTTTTGATTTTAAAGGGATCTTTTGGAAGATTTGGTTTTGCTTTAAAGTAATCATTTGGTATGACTTGAAAAGTGTAATGTTCTCTTAACTATGTTATTATATCTTTCATATCTACTAAAGGGTCTATTCTATTGATTAGAAAGTGTTGTCTAAATTGTGGGTCTTCTATATCTTAATATGCCTATGGTAAAAAGAGTTTTATAGAAATAGGTAGTGGTAATTTAAAGTAATAACTAGATATTTCTTTACAATTATAATGGTTTTGAAGTTATTTTTTATAGTAAACTAGTCTTGTAAGTTATCTTCTTTGTGTAATTGGGAATAGATTTTTTGTTGCTTCATTTAAGTTTTATAAGTTTGCTGATAAGGGTGAAAGTTTGGTAAAATAGGTTTCTGGAAGTTATTTGAAAGAGTAAATTTTGTGTAAAGCTGTAACAATTGCTCTTGTCTGTGATCTATATTTAATTAGTAAAATAAAAGAAAGAATATTTTATATTTCTTCTGAAATAAATTCTGGTAATTCAGATAATTTTGCTAAATATAATGTTAGAACATTCTTGAATTGCTTTTGTATCTATTGCAGCTTCATCTTTTGTAAAATCCTTGTAGCATTTTAAAGCTTTGGCTATATGTTTGGAAGGTCAAGTTTTGAAGTTCAAGTTTGTTGTGTAATCTATGATTAATTTCTGTCTTAGTTTCATGTGAATTAGATTTTGGGTGTCTCTGTTAGTAATGATAATTGTATTTGAAGTTTTGTAATTTTTTTAGTACTTCTATAAATATTTGGTTGTATTCAGATTAGTATAGTGATATGAATTTTTTGGCATATATAAAGGTTGTAAAGAAGGTTGGATCAGTATGTTTAAATTTTGTTTCAAATACAGAAGGGATTGGTCTTTCAGTTGACTTTGATTGTAGTTTATGTATGATAAATGCTTATATCTTTTCTTTAGATCTGTATGCTTCAATTATGCTATCATATAACTATTCTTTGTTGTTAAATGGTATAATAATTTTGGTCTCCAGGTTATTGTTTATTTATTGAATCTATGTTTCTATATAGTCAGTTTTCATTTTTATCATATCATTTATGCTTGCATCTTTTTGAACTATTTGACTATATGTGAGTTTGTTGTTCACATTTAGCATCATAGGGTTGTTTGTTTGTTCTATTTCTGTGTCTATTTGGTTGCTTTGTTCTAATTCTGTGACTTGGTTGCTATTTGCTATTACTTTATAGAGGTTTTGTAATTCAATTAGTGTAGGTTCTATGTTATATTGATCAACTATTTCTATATCTGGTATTTGATTCTGTAACATAGTTGTTTGATTTTCTTTTATGGCTATATGACCTTGTGTGTTGTGTATAATGATTACTGTGTTGTTTTTTTTTTTCATGATATTTGTTGTGTTATTGTTATTGTCAATTTGTATTGTATTGTTATTATGCTAGTTTGCTTGAGATGATGTCATTGCTTGTTTTATAGAAGGTATGCTATATCACCCACTTTTGTTACTAGTTGAAATTTGAGAAGGAATAGTATATCTTTTTTTATTATATGCATCTTTGTAAGTAACATCTAGGTTGCTATGATGTTGTTGCTGTCTAGTAGGATATTTGTGATTGTTACTCATGTCTGTTGTTTTTGTTTTGTAACTTTGCAATACTGCTAACCTTGATAGCCTTAGTTTGCCTTCCCAGTTAAAAGTATTAAATTTTCTCTTTTTACTTTTGTCTTGTATAGTTAAAGTGATTGTATCTTTACTTTGTATCTTGTATAAGTAATTTTTTTTATCCAGAATGGGCTTTTTTATTTAGGTCTTCTTCTATTGTATCCACTATTTTTTTGTTTTTTGTCTCTGCTGATTTTTATGTTTTGAGATTTGCAGGAAAGAGTTTTTGAACAGTTGATCAATAATATAAGTTATATTTAAAATTAAATTTTATTTTATTCATAAGAAAAAAAACATTTAAGGATATATATACTAGCAATGTTACCCAAACTATCTGAGATGTTACAAATTATGTAATGAATAATATTGCGTTATTGCTGAAATTGCGTGATGCTATTCATCACATAATTTGGGACGTCCCAGATAGTTTGGGTAACATCGCTAATATATACTACGTTTCTGATTTGAGCGTGACAGCATCGCGCAGCTACCCTAATTTCAAAGTAGGATAAGTAACATGAGCTTTCTAAAAAAGTACTCTAAAACAATATAAAAACTTTTTTTTATGAATTGTGTAATGGATCTACAAATGATTGCTATGTATAATCTTTCATGTTTCACACATAACTTGCCTAGTTTTATGTAATATAATATCAGACTAATACTTGCAATCACAAATATTCTATTAAACTGCTACTATTACACTATTTCTACCTTTGTAAACTTCACTAAAACCCAATACCTATTTACTCTCTACATATACAGTATATTATAAATTTTTGGCGTGTTTTATTTGGTTTATAAGCTTTTGTTAAAGTTGTTTTTTCGTTTTTCGGTAATATCAAGATGACATCTTAATGGCACAATGAAAATCGAAGATAATGTCAACAACAGTTTTGCTTTTAAATAAAAATTTTTAGGACGAATTTTTTAGCTATACAAGTGCATTTATTTATATTTTTATTTATCTTTAAAATATTGTGCGTACATATAAATGTACTATATATAATGATAAATTACAATCGATACGCATTTATTTTTTATTAAACGCGCAGCTAGTTATGGGACTAACCGGGTTAAAAAAAGATGTTTAAATCGCCAGGTATCATGACCATTAAAAAAACATTTTTTCTTATACCATGGTACTTAATAATTAAGTTACTTTTTTTAAATCCGATTAGTCACATCATCAGCAACTGCAGAACTAAAATAAAAATGCAGTATTTTCAACGTCGTAATAAACTCTTTGATATTAAAAAATTACGATATTGCGAATTAATAAAAAAAAATTTAGAATTCATACTAATAACGAACCGAACCGACCATTCTCATAATAAAAAACTTTAAAGTTTCTTATAGAGTAATTTACTATGCCTTTATGCTATATAAAAAACGCTATACATAATGTGTTAGCAAGTGAAGATTTGACACATTATTGCATGATCATCTACCCAGGGTCTTATTCAAGGGGAGAAGGATGTGGTAGGATATTATTTTCGAGGATACTATAACAGTGCTATACGATCTTTTGTCAGTTACTTTTTTTTATATATTTCTTATTGATAGCTTTAATTATGACATAGGCTACTTTTTTTGTGGAGGTAATAGACTGGATAATTGAACGATAACTTTTAAGCAACTTAAGTCCCATACACGCAATTATATAGTTGCCTTCCAAACTGTTGGAACGACCCAAACCATGTAAACGAAAACCGTTCAAAATAAATCAATCACCAAATTTATACACTAAACCAAATTAAAATTTCTGCATTGTGAAGCAATGATGATGTGTGTCAAACTCTGACGAAAGAGTGATCTATTAATAATCATTCAAAAAAATAAATCAGATATCACCATTAAAAAGTAATATTATATAATCCATCATATTATAGTTCTTTTTTTTCTCTACTAAACAATCCTCTATTATTTTAAAAATTCACAATAGTTTTCATGGGGAGGAACATTGATGAATGTGCAAGCGTTCCTGACTCTTTAAAAAAAGCTCGCGCTTGTCGTGTTTGTTCGCTGATCAAGGTACTTTTTGGTCGCTATTTTCGTTCTTTAATAATTTTCTAAAATCATACATATTTTATTTAGACTTATGATCAGTTTAAAAGAGAAGGATGCGATAATTGTGAAAGTTTTCTTAGGCTCCGTGGCCATTCTGATAAGGTCAAGGAATGTACAAGTCCCGATTATGACGGGTAAGAATGTATTGCTAATTTATCTCCCATTATCTTATGTTTAATGAAATTGTTAATGTGTATATAATATGCCAGAATTATTGCGCTTATGAAGCCTCGTGCTAACTCTTTCATTTCTAAAGCAAAAAAACTTAGTAAGGACTGTTATTTCTTTTTAGTAAATATCGATGTGCTGATATTAAATACGTATTTATTGTAATTTTACTATTTATAGCACGTTATGTTCCAGGTACTTATGCTGTTGGTGTTAGTGGTGAACTTCCAGATTGGGTTGAAGAAATTTTGATGGACGAAGGTATTTACATTTCACGAGATAATGATAAATATCCCATGCCGAAAAAAGGACATGTAAATATAGATTTCTCAATTTTTTACTGTTTAAATTTGGTGTATCTTTTTAAAGCCTACCATTACTGTTATCAATATAGGCCATGAGGCATAATTTCTAATTTGAGTGCATTTGGCTGAACAGTGATAATACGGATACTGTTTTCTTAAATTACGTAATAACAAAATCAATGTTAATTTTGAAGTCATGAATTGACACATAATAAATTCAACAATGGCATTGAATTATTAACCACTTAATAATAAAAAATTGCTAATTTACAATAAGCTTCTGTGTTAGAATTACTAAAAATGTGAAATGATCATAAATATATTATAAGCAATTATCATATATACATTATCAGCTTATTTGTATTTGTATTATATTATTATCACGTTTTTGAATTGAGTTGACGCTTTTAAATGAATTTCTAAAATTGAATCCTAAAATCTAAATAGAACCTAAAATGTGACAAAATAAAAGGTTAAAACCTTATTATACAAACTTAATAAATCGGTTCTCATAATCCGGCCGGGTCAAAATTTACTAACTTTAAAAAAAATTTTTAAATATATTTACTATTCAGATGCGTTTTTTAAAAAATTTGGTGTTTTTTATATATTAGTTGGTTTTAAATTTAGGTTGTAAAAAAACTTTTAATTAAAATAAATTTAAAGTTTTTCAATATCTTAAAAATGTTTTTATGAAGATTAAAAAAATATATAAATATTAAGTTTAAATTTTACTCAAAAGAAAGTATTTAAAAAAATTTTATGTATTTCAAATATTTATAATTTTATTATATATTTATTAATATATATTTATAAATGTAAATAATTGAATATTTTAGAAATGTGGTAACTTAGTGAAGTGGAGAAGTTTTCAACCTTCCAAGTGGTAGGTTGGGTGTTAAAAACCCATTAATGGTAAAAATTTGAATAATCACCTATATAATACTTGTATTATAATAACTGTTTTCAACAATTGGGTTAAAATACTTGTAATAATAGTTGTATTAACATGACTGGCAGGTTATAGAACATTTGTATAACTACTTATATAGAGAAATACAAACTAACATTGGATGATGCAAACTCTAAATAAGTTCTTATAGTTATATAAATCTGTTAAAATTAGAAAACAAGAAGTCTATTTAGGAAGACCTAAGCAAAGAAATAGTACAGATCTTTAACTATAAAAATTAGTCTTATAAAACAGATATTAATATAAAAAAGTTAGTTAGACAAGAATCTCTGAGTAAAGGATATTACCAATCAGGTTATCAAAATAGATTAGAAGAAAGAAATATTAGGTTGATTTGATATATTAATGAACTGATTGTAGTTCTATCAAACTATCTGAATTAGAAGTTTAATAACAATACAGATATATTAAAATATTTTAGATATATTGTAAAATAATATTAAGATTTGAGTAAATTCTATAAAGGTATAGCAGTTTAATAGTTAATCTTAATTACAAGTATTGGTTCTATTATAACAATACTAGATCAGTTATAAAAATAAATACAAAAGATTTTAAAAGGTTTACTTTAAAGATAAAATAGTTTTAAGATTAAGATAATGATCTGAATATTACTTAATGATATTAAAACAAATTGCAATTTAGAGGTTTTAAAATAAGACATATAAGCAGAAGTATTAAATATAATAATTAGTAAAAAATTTTTAAATAGACTTCATAAATAGATAATATAAAAAAATTATATCTACAACTAATTGTATATTCTTTTTTTAATAGTTTCTTATAAAACACATTATCAAAAGTAGTAATAAAAGTCAAAAAATCAAAAAGATTAGTTTAATATCAAAAAAAATTTACTGAATATTTTATATAATTAATATCTTTTTTTAGTTTGTTTTATAAGATTCTGTAATTTAATTAAATCTAATTAGAGTTAAAAGTAAATAATTTTTATATTTAAAATATTTTTACTTAATTATTAGTATTTTATTTAATTAATAATCTTTATATTTTTATATATTTATTTATTTATTTATTTTTATAATCAAAGTCCCTGTCTTGAGGATGTGACATTTTTATTCAAGTATTATAGAACACAGCATGCCTTCAGAAGCTACCTATATATTGGAGGTTACAACTAAGCACACATGCACTTTTGGTGTCTAATTTAAGTAGTTTGCTTATACATTACTATATAAGTTTTATACTAGTTATCATATCTGTAAGCCAACTAGGAGTCTTGCCTATTTAAACCTTCTGCATATATAATCCTTCTTGTATCATGAGAACATCTTAAGGCTACACTCATTCAAGTTTTCAATACTGGTTATTACCTTTAGAACTACTTTATCCTTGACAGGAAACTTACTAGAGCCTTTATGTTCTACACATATAGACCTAATTTTATGCAATATACTATAGTTACCTAACACTTGCAGTTATAGAGGTTATCTGTTTAACTGCTACATTATACTATTTCTATCTTTGTAAAGTTTACTAGAACCCTAGTACCTATTTTTCTAGCATCTTCTCCATTATCTTTTACTAGCCACAACTCAGAACTAACAGTCTCTTCCAGACTACCAATTCAGATGGCTCAGTCTAGTATACTTCTGTATTCTTTTTCTCTGGTAAATCTGGCAATCTGGTTGGTTATATGCTCCTCTATACATATTTAATATCTAGTTTAATTTTATGAAGATATTTTATAAACTTCAACTAGTCTGATGATATTGTTGAATGTTTATGCTACCTCTTTACTCAAAAATTTTTAAATAGGTTTCTGTTGCCTCAATTCCTTAGTCTTCTATGCCTAGTGGTCTTATTATGAGTTTGCACTGAAGTTTTATACAATACCAATTATACATTTCTCTATATACATGTAATATTACATTTCACATAAATGCCCTAAGCTTCCAATATCAGTAGAATCCAACTTGATATACCTGGGTTACAGCCACATAAGGCCAACTGATTGATAGAAGACAGTTACTGTAATGTAGATATAATTTTCAAATTTCATCATAGGTAGGATTTGAACCTTAAACCTGTCACTTAGAGAATAATGACCCAACCACTATATTAGAATTGCTATTCTGATAATTTTAATTTTTATAGTTTATTAAGAATTAACTTTAATAAAAATAAAACATGTTTTACAAAATACAAAAAAACAAAATATAAATAAAAAATGATTAAAATATAGAATATAGTTTTTGAGGATGTGGCAACCTAGTGAAGTGGTCAGGTTGTCAACTCTTCAAGTGGTAGGTTGAGTGTTTAAATCCCATTGACAGCAAAAATTTGGATAATCACCTATATAATATTCATATTATAGCAACTGTTACTAATAATTGGGTTAGGATATCTGTAATAATAGTTGCACCAGCATGACTGGCAGGTCATGGGGCATCTGTACAATGTTGGAGTTATATAGAGGAATGCAAACTGACAAATCGGATGGTGCAAACACAAGATAAGTCCTTGTGGTTATGTAAATTTGTTGAAATTGAGTAACAAGAAGTCCATTTAGGAAGACCCAAATAGAGAGGTAGTTGGATCTTCAATGGCCCTACTGTAAAGGCTAGCCTGGTGAAATGGATACCTAGATCTAGTATCTGGTCCTAGTAACCAGACAGGCAAGAACCTCTGGGTTAGAAGTTTTGGAGATACCACCAACCAGGCCACCAGAATGAACTGAAGGAAAAGGATATCAGGTTGGCCTGATATACCAATAGACTGGTCATAGTCCTATACAGGCTATCTGGATTGGAAGTTTGGTAAAAGGGCAGAAGAAAAGGCAGGGATATACTAAAGTACCAAGGTTATGCTGTGAAGTAGATGCTGGGGTTTAAGTAAACTCTACAAGACAATAGCAGTTTAATGGTTAGCCCTAACTGCAAGTGTTGGTTCTGCTATAGCAATACCTAGGTCAGCTATAAAAATGGGTACAAAAGGCTCTAGGGGGTTTACCTCAAGGATAAATTAGTCCTAAGGTTGAGGATGATGATCTGGGCATCTGAGATAACCAGTGATGTTAACACAGATTACAGGTTCAGAGGGTTTAAAGTAGAACATCCAAGCAGGGATGTTAAATACAACAATTGGTAAAGAACCTTCAGGCAGACTCCTTAAATAGATAATATAGAAAAGTTACATATGTAGCCAATTGTATACTCTCCTGTAGTGGTTCATTAAACCACAATACCAATAAATGATTAATAAAAGTCAAAAGACCAAAGAGGTTACCTTAATACCAAAAAAAAAATATATATATATATATAGTTTTATATAAAACTTATTAATCTCTTTCATAATCATATCAAGAGCTTTGTTATGAGAATTAGTTAAACTGTTATTTAGTTTTGCAAGTTCTCTGTTATGCTTATTTTCTAAGTACAAGAAAAAAAACATAAAACTTATTAATAAAATTATAATATAAATGATAAATAATCTTTTGTAAAAGTATTATTCTTTTTAAAATTCTTTAAGTAAAATGTTTGATTTATTTTTTTAGATATTTTAGCAAAATTAACTATTCTGTTATTTAGTAATTAATTTAGTATAAGTTAATACTTTTTGATTTGCAATAATACAGAAACTAGATTATTATTAAGTTCTATAATTGATTAATCAAAAGTTTAAATATCTTTAATAAGAAAGATTATATTTAAGTATAAATTTTGTTAAGCATCAGTTAACTAACTAATCAAAAGATGAATTATATATTGTCTTGTATAGACTAAAATAGATAGTTTGTTTAATAAAAAGAATTTAATTAATATCAATTTATAATAAAACATATCTGAGATGTGGCAACTTAGTGAAGTGGTCAAGTTGTTGCACTCTAAGTGACAAGGTCTAAGGTTCAATTCCCACTAGTGATGAATATTAAAAATTAAAAATCTTGTATACCTTAATTGGTATGTCAACTTAATTAGGAATGTTGGCTTATTGGCTGTAATTTGTGGTACAAAACCAAGTAAAGTTGGTAATAGATCTGCAGTGATCCATGTTATAGTGTCTATATCCAAAAGCAAATAACTGCAAGGAGTTTGTTCCAATTAGGAATATGGAGGAATACAAGCTGGTATATATAGATGTATCCCTGAACATTGTAAAATAGTCAGTGTAAAC